GACGGTTTTAGATAGATAAATGTGATACTTGTTCTTTTTTTTTGAGAAGACAGAGAAGAATACGTTTATATTTATGCGTGTATATTAATTGCCAAGTGTCATGAGATTATAAATTTGGACTTGTCAGAAATATGCAAAAGTTAGATCGGTAGATTTGTGTAATTAAAAATATAAAATATTGAGTAATTAAAAGTATAAAACATAAAGAAAATTATTTCAAAACGCTATTGTAGATGAATAAATTCTACAAACTATATAGCGTGTATATTTACAGTTTCTTACAATTTTCCTACATTTTTCGAGCTTCCGGGCTAGCGTTATGTCCGTTCGTAGTGCCCAGCCCTGTGTTTCGTACACGTACGCCCGAGGTAAAGAACGATATATAGAAAGAAGAAATAACTCCGCGCGATAATTCAGGGGTCTCAACCCTCCGCCTAGCGCCTCGGTGCTTCCTGTCCTCGTGAGAGTAATGCCGGCGGGACCAGGGTTTCGGCCGAAAAAAGCGTCCTGTTTTCTCCCTCGCCTCTCGTTCCTCCTTTTTCTCCTCGCTCGTTCGTGCTATCCTATTAAAGTGCGATCTTGTGAATCTCGACGCGCTCAACCCAGCGCGATTCTCGGCCGGTCGCGCTACCGTGTGCGCCGTCGTCATGAATGAGGATGGAAGGTTGTTTTATACGGTCATAAGGAGGGTGGCGATACGGATAAACGACGCGGCGGTAACGAATGATGTCTTCGTGATATTTCAACCTTGTCTTTTTCCACCCCTTCCTTTCCGCCCGGCTTCTCTCCCTTCGCTCTCCTCTTTTTTCACCCTTCCGTCTCCTCCTGCGCGCGCCCTTCTTTTCACGGCGCTTCCGGGGTCAAGATTCACGAGACGAGGGAGCGAGGCCGGAGACGGGGAGGCGAGGAGAGAAAAGCGACAAAGGGAGAGAAGAGCAGCGCAGCAGAACACGCGGGAGGGAAAGATAAATTGCAGGCGTGGATGTGTGTACTGCGCCCATAAAGAGCAGGCTGACCGGTCCATGACGCTCCCGGTCGGCGACTTCGCGTTTAAGCAGCAAATCGGGCATCGGAGATTCATGAATGCGCGGCGCCAAGTGCCTTTTGATACGCACACTAGCAAAGAAACGGAATGTTAGATTTTTATTCCGTTGGCCGGAATCTAAATTTGTATGAAAACGCGGGTCATGTCCATGTTTCCCAACGTGCCTTCGTCTTCGACTCGCCGGATAATGCGAGTTTTACGTCGATATTACGTAGATATAAGAAGATATTATCCCTTCCTCAACTTTTTATATCGTTACATCCGAATCTGCGCAATCGGTGCCAGTCTCTAAACAACTCGGAACTTTCGTATCTATACAGTTACTCGGAAATTTGCGCGTAACATAAATCCGAACAGAACTATCCGCTCTAATCTAAAGCCTTACATGTAGCGAACTTTAGGATCTCTTCGCGCACAAGATATCCGACAAAAGTTGGACTGCATCTAAGAATAGTCACGCGCCAATTAATCTCGGAGTACATTTTAGACATTTGCACTTCATTAAATGCACAATCGCTCGATTAATGAAATATATGAGATATTGTGCAATGAATTGCGGTTAAGTTTCGTAAGGAATAATTGAGTTAATTCTGAAAGTGACGCAAGTCAAATTTTGAAGCACGATAGATTGAAATGTTAAATATTAATGGTATATTTATTTTTTAGTAAAATCTTTAAAATTTTACGTATATCAAAAACGAATAACTTAATTTATTACTCTATATGTTATTTCTGAAAAAGAAACATTCAAAATAAATTTGACCGTATTTAAAATAATTATTTTAAAGCAATAATTTGATTATAATTTTAAAAATACAAAATAATATATATATATATATTTTAAAAATACAAAATAAATATATATATTTTAACATGTTTTAAAATTTTGCCAAATTAACGACTTTAACATATGTCAAAAATAAATAGCAATTTAATAATGTAGCATATGCTATTTTAAAAAAAAAAAACATTAAAATATTTGACCGCGTTTAAAATAATTATTTTAAAGCAATTAATTTTGATTAGCCTCTTTAAAATAGAAAATAATATAAACATATTTTTTTAATGTTATATTTTAAAATGTCGTCAAGTTAATGCATGATTTTAACGTTACTGTTTGATATAATACATTCGAAGAATAAAACGCTTGAAAAATGGAGCCCATAATGGTTTGATCCGCACTATTGTGTGTTGAAATATTTGCTCATATCTAACTACAATAGCATTATACAGTAGTACTGTGGCAATTCAATATACGTGTATCAGCGGCATCTTATTCATTCTATCATACTTTTTTTAATAGTACCTGTACATATTATCTGCACCGAATTTGTCATCTCTTTTTACTAATGATATATAACATAAATAAATATTTTAGAGCTCTATAGTACAAATTGAGATCTATATTACGACAAATAAATTTTCTTGTTGCAAAGATATTTTCAATGTGACTTCACTATTGAAGTGAAGTATATATCGCTATTGGTCATTTGACTTCCGTGATCAATGACTTCTAGCATGGAATACATTATGCCGATTTGGTTGGCCTCGTGCTTCAGTGTTTTCGAAATATGGCCCTCTGAATGAGCGATCAGCATATCAGCGTTATTACTGCGAGCTCGCAGTGCCTGCAGGCAACGCAATCCGCATTGCGAATATCTCGAGAATCAATTCTGAGAACGCAGGTGTACGTTTTCGTGGATATACCGCATAGAACTCGATCTACAACGGTAGATGTTTAGAGTAAACTGTAATTTTTTTACACGTCGTTAAGGATGTTTTGTATGTACAATCCCAGCAAAAAGTAACTGAAAATCAATATTGACGAATATCCACTTTTGATGTATTTTGAGTATGAAAAATTGTGTGAAATATTACAATTTGATCTTAGCTACAGTGCAGATGTATTTTTTAATATTTATTGCGTCTTTACAAAATATTCCAAATTTTGTTAATCGAAATGATTAACTTTTGGCAGAGAATTTCGCCTTGTGACAGATACATGGCTAACTTCATTGAATGATATTTAATATCTTTTTAATCAGTTAGTATTTGTATAATATTATTTGTATTGTACAAGTATAATATTATTATACTTGTATAATATTATTTGACCAAATATTTCCTCTGTATCTAAACTTTGCAAATTTTAAACAAATTCTGAATATTTTTTCCATGAGTTTCTGTCATTTGAATCGATGTGATTATAAGTTTTCCACAAGAACACATGTTAATTCGATGCAAATTAGAATCCTTATAACTTGTGAACGCTTTAGTGAATCGATTTAAAAATTGTACTGAAGATTCGAAACATATGTAAGAACATTCTGTACAATTTTCATTAAATTCTCAATATTTTGAAAATAGATACAAAATATCCTTAATCGAAATGATTAATTTTTGGCAGAAAATTTCGCCTTGTGACAGATACATGGCTAACTCCATTGAATTATATTTAATATCTTTTTAATCAGTTAGTACTTGTATAATATTATTTGACCAAATATTTCCTCTGTATCTAAACTTTTGCAAATTTTAAACAAATTCTGAATATTATTTCCATGTGTTTCTGTCATTTGAATCGACGTGATTATATGTTTCCCATAAGAACACATGTTAATTCGGTGCAAATTGAAATCCTTATAACTTGTGAACGTTTTAGTGAATCGATTTAAAAATTGTACTGAAGATTCGAAACATATGTAAGAACATTCTGTACAATTTTCATTAAATTCTCAATATTTTGCAAATAAATACAAAATATCCTTAATCGAAATGGTTAATTTTTGGCAGAGAATTTCGCCTTGTGACAGATACATGGCTAACTCCATTGAATTATATTTAATATCTTTTTAATCAGTTAGTACTTGTATAATATTATTTGACCAAATATTTCCTCTGTATCTAAACTTTTGCAAATTTTAAACAAATTCTGAATATTATTTCCATGTGTTTCTGTCATTTGAATCGACGTGATTATATGTTTCCCATAAGAACACATGTTAATTCGGTGCAAATTGAAATCCTTATAACTTGTGAACGTTTTAGTGAATCGATTTAAAAATTGTACTGAAGATTCGAAACATATGTGAGACATTCTATACAATTTTCATTAAATTCTCAATATTTCGAAAATAGGTACAAAACACCCTTAAGACAATATGCGTATTTGTAATTTAAAAAAAAGACAAAAGAGCGTAAAAACGCGTTTCTCTCCATTTATTACTATCAACTGATTACGAATGAATATATTATGTGTTCGTGCAGAATGCGTGTTTTGTGCATCAATCGTCGGAGAACAAGATAGGTGCGATTGTAAACATTTTCACTCGATAACCTGTGAAAATATAACCATACGAAACGCGGCGCGTATCGCGTTCTGTTTATCGAAGATAGAGGGGCTCGACTATAACACGTTTTCGGAAGTTGAGAAATCTGATCAATCTACGCGCACGGGAAGCAGAGCGAAGGATTTCGTGTGGGGGGACCGTGCCACGCGCGCGCCGACAATGGGTCCTAATGCCGGGCGAATGACGACGCGTAACAAACCGTATTCAACAAAAACTTTCGCGGCCGGCCGACAAATTGAATCCGAAGGGCTCGGAACCGGCAGTCACCCTTCGCGCGAAGGAGGCGCGGAGTAAGATCGTGCGTGTCCGGGGTGCGGGTCGGCTCGTGACGGTACGGGACGTTCGCGAAGCGAGCGTCGGAAGGAGATACTTTGGAGGAAACGAGACGGAGAGCAACCTCTCGCGTGGGCGAGAGCGGGATGTATCTCGCGCGCGCGAGAAACGGTGAAGGAGAGAGCGAAGGAGCGCGACGCGCGTGAGACTGCGCGAAGTGGGGAGCGGGAGGGGAGAGACCGCGAGGATCGTCGGCGCGCGCGTGGTGGGGATAGAAGGGCGGTCGGCGCATGCGCGACTCGCGACGGAACGGCTTCGCGCGGCGACGCTCAGTCTCGTCCGTCGCAATCCAGTGCAGATATACGTGCAATTACCCTGTCAACAGTGCTTAAAATCTCCGTGCTCGTGCCGTGTACGTTGGCACGCAGTGATCGATAACCCTCGTCGACGAGCCGCCGTCGATCGCGACGCATCCCGCGATTGCCGGAGGAAGAGAGAAAAAGGAAAAGAAACATAACAGCGTGAAAAGCGACAGTGCGAAGTTCCGAGCAATGATAAATTTGGTGTACGATATGATTTGAATCGACCGCTCTCTCGGTGATCGCGAAAGAGACCGAGGGGACCGGAACAGAGTGAAGTTCGGCAAGTTTGGACAGTGAATTCGGTGAATTCGCGTCGTTCTGGTAACTTGTGGAGAGTGATATCGCCATATCAAGTATATATCCGTCGATTCTACTCGCGAATGAATGTACGACGACGATCGAGGAATTCGTTGGAATAAGTGACGATAGTCGACGGGAAGAAAGGGAGCAATTGTGACACAAGAGGACAGATGTGGTGCCGCGTAATTCGGCGTAGTTACTTCTTTTGCGCGTTTCGTTAGCTGTCGCGTCTTATCGCGAGTGAATCAGTGCGCCTATAAATTCAACGCTGATCTCATCGAGGGAAATCAACTCTTCGAGGACTTCTTACTCGCTATCAAGATGAAGACTCGCCACTTGTGGCTAGAAGCGGCCGTCGTTTTCTTCGCAATAACAAGTAAGTGGTGGTTGCTTATAGTATAAGATTCGCTCGACATTGAAAAATAACCTCTCGCGCCCTTTCCACGAAATGGATCTCGCGTACGTATTCGTGTGACGATGTTATTACATCTGTGCGTTGTTATTAATGTTTCGATTCAAAGTGAGTTAAAAGATATCATTTTTTCGAAAATCTCAAGGTTACGCTCTTATGAAAAACAAAAAAAGTTTTATCTAATACTGTGTAAGGCGTTCATACGTAAATATGATAATCTCTCGGTACAGAATGATAGGATATTTTTTTGAAAATGATAAGTATTAATTTTTTAAATATCTTATTTATATAACATGATTGACCACATTTCCGTATTTCGTAAGATACGATAGGAATTTTTTTATGTCGATGTTGACTTATAGAGTCAGTAAATTTTATCAATAAATAAAGAACAGCAGATATAGAATGGTATAAATTTGATGATTATAAATTTTCCAAATTCTTTAATCAAATTATCGATCGCTGAAAAAAAATATTTTTGATAAGTATTAATTTTTTAAATATCTTTATTTATGTAACATGATTGACCACATTTCCGTATTTCGTAAGATACGATAAGAATGATGTACATTATAAATTTTCCAAATTCTTCAATCAAATTATCGACCGCTTAAAAAAATATTGCCACGCGAAGCGTGCTTTTTTAAAGGGAAAATCCATCTTGAAATTTAAAGAAAATATCGCTAAAGTTTGATATCGTAAAAAAATCCCTTCGTCGTGCATAATAGCTTCCATTGTCTCCCGCAACGAGAGCATAATAAATATTTTCTATCTCCTTTTTTCGGACGGCAACTCGCCAAGACACCGCGGCGTTTCGCGCTCGCAGACAAGAGGATTCGGCTGGTGGGGGACGAAAAACGGGGTGATGAGTGTGTAAAATGCGGAAAAGTCTTTTCTCGTAAAGTAGCTCTCTCCCGCTGGTTACATGGTCGCGTTTCAGCGCCCATCGCGCTGCACGACGCCGACGTCACAAAAGGGAGATAACATTCGCGGATGGGCCGCGCAGAAACGCGCAAATAGCGCGCGTTTCTCGCCGCTTTTACGACGGTTTTCCTTGTTAATGCGAATGGTAGCGGGACCAGTCAGCGAGCAAGATACGAGATAGACTGTACGTTACGGACACTTACCATTGTCGCGAATTTCAGCGTTAAATAATGGAGTTATATAGTAAAATGGCATTAAATTTCTAGATCTTGGTACGCTTAAAAAAATTGTCTGCTTAAATTTTGACGGCACCAATTGTGCTAATTCGAGTTATGTAAAATAAAGGTATAGCTGTTTCTTCGAGATATATTTTGACGTTTTTGTTCTTTGCGAAAAATATACGCCAATTATATCCAAACTTATACGTGAAATAATTAATCTTTTCATGTTGAAACTCATTGTATTTTCCTTTTGTGTTTGTCGACAAACAAATGTACATTTGCTATGGCGATATATTGTTCGTACTTTTAACAATCGTTATTGGCATGAAATAATGATGACATAAATTGGTAGCGCGAGAAAAAGGGGTCAAATTTTAGATTGCATTTTTTAAAGTTTTCTATGGCAACGGATGATTGTAGACGCACATCTTTTTTTAATAATAAAGGGTATTAATATCGCATCATTTTTTGTCTGTGTATTGTATTCGTAGTGTATTTTGCGTGAAACTATTTTAATTTCTATTACTCGTTCTTACGTTTTATCATGTGCAATTTTTAATTTATATCCAAGAAAATATCGTCGAATAGCGAATAACGCGCACTGATAATTTAGACATTTTCAAGCAATTTTCCTTGCGCTAAGAAGGGCGCAAGTTCTGCGCCGCAAAGAGAGTATTTAATCGATAGCTCAATTTCGAGCGTTTAATTAAGGGTCTGCATCGCGCTTAATTCGACGTCTCTATCGTTGCTCCGCGAACGATTTCTAGACGTTATCGGTGGCAGCTCGTTTCCCTTTGCGTGGAAATTCAAATGCGGAGAAGGACAGTCTGTGCGCCCTCCACGACAGTCCCTTTTCCCGCGTCACTCGTAGTAGCTTGATTACAGTCGCGAAACTCCATTGTCACTCCCGCGCAAACTCATTTGATTTCTCTCGACTCTTTTTCGACGATTGCTGTTTGCCGGAAGGAAAATGAGAAAGGCAGGAGGGGTCGAAGCAGGAAACGGAAGACTTGAAGAAAGGAATATTTGAAGAAAGTACAGAATCAACGGATTTGTCGTTTTTAGAATAGCAAAAGAATCTGATTTTTAAACACACGGAGAAAATTTAATAGTCTTATCCGTTTTTTTGCTAGAAACATTAATTTGAGAAGCAATTTCTCGACATTAGAATTTTTCTCTTTAATACAAACGATAAAGTACTAAAGTTTTTAAAGTGATATAACATATTTATGATATAACATTTTTTTACGTTTTTACGTATAATCTTAAGAAATATATCATTGGCTATTATGAACAAGCTTAAAATTATAAAAAGTTTTGAGAGGAAATCAATCAAAAATATTTTCCATTATCAATGTAATTTCGATAAATAGAATCTGCATATTTATATCGAAAGAAAAACATCTTTTATAAATATTTGAAAAATTATACATTTTGTAATTGTATTTATACTATTTATCTTAGAATAGTCTCTATGTAAATGAAGATTAAACACACACACACATTCTCTTATTGCCAGAAAAAATATAGCTTTCTATAAGAGAAGAGAAATTTTACATATTTACATAAATCATATATATATATATCGAAATGAAAGAAGGAGAAAATTCTGATAATATTTAACGCATATGAACAGCTGAATTATAATATATAAAAAAGCTATAATATATAAAATTTAATTTTCGTTCAAAAATAATAAATTAATTCTTGTTTGCATAAAAAACTAATAATATCGATTGCGCGTTTATACCATTTAATATAAAGGCTGCACCTATATTAATCGTTTTCCGTGAAAATTTTTTGGCAGTATTTTATTTCATTATATTTATGCATTATACGCTATATCATATTTACAATATGCACGTTAGATAAAGTAATTCGTTTAAATTTATAACGGGGAAGTAATAATAATTCTCGGCTTGCGCAATTAGTGAGTTAAAAAACTCGCTACCAGCACGATGAAAACGAGGAGAATCCGTAAACTAGAGCCGCTCGCTCAACAAAGGATCGCCAACATTTAATGTGAGAGAATTACGCTTGCACTCGTTTTACGCGAATTTATTTACACGCCTAGCTGTCGCGAACGCATTAACCGCCTGAATCGAGAATTACGTGTATGGAGTTTAATTACAATTTTGATGAGGGTGGTGTTAAGCCAGGAATATCACGACCAAGTGCTTCGCGTAGATGCGCGCATACGCAGCAGGCTGATCTACCGAGACACGGTTGCGGTATTAGGCGGTTCCCAGTTTGACGCTCTTGCGAGACAGGTGGCTTAATTAATTACAGACCAGGGGAACGAACTAACGTGTTTTTATTTTACTATTGAAACTATCAACTCTAAACGCGACGATGTTAGGGCAATTTAGCGCGTATTTCGGGAACTTCACAGAGTTACGTAGGTTTACTCGCGCATTCGGTTGCGCTTCGTGAACTACCGATGTTGTTTAAAGCAAGTCAATGCGTATACTGGAAGCGAAACCGCTGTCATGAGTAGTTATAACGAGAGACTTCGTTATCGGAATGAGCTGCGAGCAAGAATGTTATTCACCGATGATTCAAAATGTAACGTTAAAGAGGGCAAATTAGACGCAAATTTTCGTCGCAGTCGCGAATATCTCGAAGAATCGGGGAGATGTAATTTAATTTGTTTAATTAGATGATGGGAGAGTTGTCTAAAAATATTTTTAGTAGAACATGAAATAGCTTCATACGATTATAAGATAAAACGGCATTAATAAATATCAAGATATTTTATTCTTAGGCATTTATTCGCAGGCTACTTATTATTGCTCGAATATGTTTTAATAATTCAAATATGATATTTTCTATCTCGCTATGTGCACATCACGATGATACTGTTCTTATATTGGATGATATTAATTTCATCTATTAGATTCTACAGTAATAATTGTCATGCATCATATATCAATATTCACATTAATTTAATTTATGTGCTGATGACATGTTTTTAAACTTACTCATTTTCATTCTACAATAATTAAAAAAATTGTTCAGGTATAACTGCTCATTTTATATTTTGAATACAATTTCAAACAAAACAAAATAATAAAATATTTTTTAAATATTATTGTTATATTACATTATTATTTTATATTTTCACATTATTATGTTGCCGTGTTTATTGTAAATTTGAAAATGTTAAAATATAAATATTAATAGCAATATATTCAGAATACTATTTTATGGAACACAATAATGGATTTTTTATTGCTTGTCGTCGCATGCTATAATATTGTTTTTGCTAAGTGGTATTAATATTAATTATCTATGATATCCGGTAATTACCCATATTAATTTAGTTTGTGATATAACAATTTTATCTTATTAATAATGTGAAAAAAATAATATAACATAATCAAAATGTTTTCATACTATATCGTAAAACCAATCGTAATTAATTTAAATTATTAGGAGAGAAATATAAAACAAGCGCATGATTATATTATTCGAAACAAAATAATTAAAAAAAAAACCTGAAGTACCCTATTAATATTATGCTCGCAATCGTAAAATTTTTATCATTACGCGTATACAAAGTCTAATACAAATGGCGTGCCGTCGTGCTGCGTGTCGCATGATGATAACATCGTTGCTGTCAGACTCGCTAATATTAATCTTAATCATTGGCTTCTGTGGCAGTAACTGCCGTGTCCGGTGATTATCCACATTAGCTTGGTTTGTCATGTATCATTTGTATTTGGTGAACTTGCTATACTTATCTAAATTAGAGCGTATTATGTGACCTCATATAAATTTCCCTTTGGAGCACAGATATGTTTAAAATATATTGATCAA